CCTCATAACCTTATCCAACATAAATCAGTCTGTTTCACAGATACTGAGCTAAACATTAGTTTGGTAACAGCAGAGAGGTTTTCACAACCCTTACACTGAATGCTGACAGATTGTGCAACACTTCACAGTTTTATGTCACATTGCACATAAAATTATTTCTCAACTTATGATTAATTGCTCATGTTTACTACAAATATGTTTAATGTATAAAAGTGTTGTGAAAACACTGATATAGTTTAAACATGTCAATGTACAGTACATGCTCACAGGATCAGTATATTGTTTGACTTCCCTGATCAAAACCTTCAGCTTTAACACTGCAGGAAATCAGTGCTGCGTTCTGATGAGGCCATGAGAAATGAGTAATGGTCTTTGCTGAATGAATTCATTAAGCCTGGAATGTCTGGATATTCTGCACKGAGAGCCCACTCAATGGGCTCGGATCAAAACGTCTCTTTTCATCAGATCCTTGGAGGATCCAACACAGCCAGGCTGCCATTTCACAAACTAAACACATCCAGATCTTTGYCCAAAACTTTGACAGAAACTCCTCGGAGCTGAGAGCTGTCCACCTCCGTTACAGAACAGACTCGCTGCTTGTTTTATTTATGATGAATGTAGAGGAAAGATGGTGAACTGGCTTTAAACTGGCTTTAAACACCACTGTTAGTGAGCTGGCAGGACTCCAAACAGTGCACTTATAGAAACCACCCCTGCTGTATTTAGACACATCCTGTCTCCATGGGCACTGAGTCTGAAAAGAGGCCTTTGCACAGCTGGTCTGCAGCAACAAAGGAAAACTGTGGGAGGAGCAAGAAACAGTGAAGGAGTGTTCAGATGTTCAGACAGGAACAGAGGAAGGGGAGTGAAAGTACCAGTCAACACACTGGTTCTGGACGTGGCAGGAGGAGGGAGAAAGGAGGAGGTCCAGTGAAAGCTGAGGAGAGGAAGACGWGAACACAAACTGTGTGAGGACAGCAGCAGAAAGTTACAAACAGCTGCTGATCTCCTGAAGGAGTCCGATCACCTCCTCTGTAGACCTGCTCTGAGTCTGAACCAGCTGATCGATGAGAACTTTATGACCACAGGTGCCCATTAAAACCAGTGGAAACAGCGAAGCTCCAACAGTGAAACAAATTCACTGCCAAGGTGAGAAATCCTTTCAAAGCTGCTCAGATTAGAAGTTGTTGAACTCTCTGCCATGACTTGTTGACGTGTTTGAAACAAGATGTTCTGTCTGTTCTCTGCTGCTGATGAAACCAACTCTCTAACCTCTGATGGCACAGATGTTCATCAGAGCAGAGCTGAGTGATGAGCAGGTTTTCCTGGAATATATTGTGTTTAAAGTACTCTGTAAGACTGCAGGGACTGAAGGTTTAACTGCTGCAGAGGCTTTCTGTTTGCATCAAATGTCTGTTGTCACTTTTTATAACATCTGTTTCAGATTTTATAGCACACTTTCTGCTGGACACACTGTATATTGTGGAATGTTTGTTGATGCATGTCAAGGCTTTAGCATCATATTTACTGCACAAAACTGACATTTGTGTCAATCATTCAACATGAAGCAGCAGCACAGAAGCCAGAGCTGAACAACATCCAGAAATGGATCTGAGGATTCTTTAAATAAAACTAATTTGGCCAGAATTCACAACACTGCAAATATATTGTATCAGATAATCCTCAGCATAGCTGCATGAAACAGACTGGGGTAAGTTGAGCCCCCCTTGTTGCAAGGAAACGTAAAGAAAATTGATCAAGTGACCAAATATTTAGGAGGAGGCTGTCCTTTCATCTGTGAGTCTGTGAAGGTAAGAAGCACATGGGTAAAGCTGTTAGACATTTATTTATGAAAAAACATTTTTCACTCTTGAAAGTGAATTTAGGCTACCATAAGTTTCAGGAGAATTGTGTTTATACTAAAGTAAAGRATTTTAAATTGGTTTCATACATCAATGGTCGTCTCTGTGAGCTACAACATGAGGTGTTAAACCTAGCATAAAGGTGAACCATTTTAGCTGTAGGGACTAATAATATCAAAATGRTAGCTCTGGGCTAAATTGAGACATTTTGACAAGTAAGTGTATTTTATCTGTAGCCTACATGTCTTCAATATTAAATCAAGATTCTGCATTTGTATGATTACAGAGTGGACATCATGTATATAAGCACAAAACAAGTAGGGGAGCCACCAGTGAAGTGTGTTGGAGCAGCAGCTGAGGATGCCAAAATAGAATAAAAGACACTGATGAAAAAGAAAATGTACCTTKGAAAAATACAGGCTATGATGGAGAACAGAGGCTAAAAAGGATTCTCTCAGACGGCATGGAGTCTGAACTTGACAAACATTTTAAGAATCTCACAGACCAGTCTCATGTCTTACTACCCTCACATGCAGAGAACTTTCCTACGAGTTTGAAGTGAAACAACATCCCAGTGCCTGACAACTGGTCAGGAGGAGAACAAGCAGGTAGCGTAAGAGATGTTGAACATTGACATCTATCTAAATATGTAGGGTTCCCTATTCACAACAAAACATAATAAATATATAATATGTTTAAACTAAAAAATTGTACCACTTTTTTGGTGAAAATAGGACATTTTGAATTGAATGGCAGCAACACAAAAACATAACAAAGTTCAGACAAAGGCTGTGAAAGGAAATGATAGAGATCAGAAATGGCTGGAATTTTGTGAGTAATCACTGAATCAGACAAATCCTGTAAAACTCATGTTGTTAGTCAGTAAAAGTATTTTGTTGTGTACTTGGAGCCTCTAGGAGTGAAAAACGGTGGAATTTAGTTCCTCCAGATGCTCTGTAGATATCTTTATATTCTGTTTGGGTATGTTTGTTTATTTAACCCTTTCAGTTTCATCTATTGTTTTATGACATTTTCTGAACGATTATTGAAGTSAAACTGTTTGAGACAGAGCTTCTGAACAAGGTCTGGACTTTCTTCTTCCTCCTCTCGTCTGGGTCAGACTCTGCTCCAACACATGAGGCTGATGGGTCAGTTTTCTGTTGCTGACATCTTTGAATCATTTGTAAATAAAAAGTGAACTTATTTTTTTAAATAAAAAGTTTTGGTCCTGCTCTATAGTCATAAACCCCTCTATCAAACTAACGGACCACTCTGGAAAGACACAGCCTCAAAACGAGTTGGTTTGAGACACATCTCAGAAAGGGATGAAAGAGGAGCTTGTGTTACAATAAGAATGAATTCAGACCAAAGCATTGCAGTTCTATTTTATATAGACCCTAACTGAATGAATTAAATGTGAAAAAGACCAATTTAAAGCATCTTATGTTTATTTTAACTGGCAACAGATCAGTAGGTGTCCACGAACAACACTTTAGAAATAAAAAAGGGCAGAGGTTTGCCAGTACTGGGAACAATTTCACAACAATGCTTCTTAATGAAAAACAGAGACTTTGAATATTTTCTCTTTAGTTCAAAATATCATCAAAAGATGTTAAAAATGTGCAGAAACCCCCTACACAAAGCTGGAGGTCAGCACTGAATTCCTGTGATATTCAAGACCTTGGGTAAAAAAACAGCTTTAAAAACAGGTCAGATCTGGTTCTGGACATCAWTGCATGGGCTCAGGAACACTTCCACAAGTTATTGTCTTTAAACACAGTTTGCTGTGCCATCTACAAAGGCTGGGTAAAGCTCTATCATGCATAAAACCAGCTGTATGATGTGAACAGTATGCTACTGATGGACCAACAGCCCCTCTAAACCTCCTGCAGCTGCTCKGCTCTGTTCCCAGGGTTTACAGAACGTTGTTCAAACTCTGAGCTTCACAGAGCTAAACATGGACACTCTTTACAAGAGTGTTACTGCCAAGAAGTTCAAACTCACTCAGTATTTTTCCATAAATATAGTACTCAGTCACTATCACTTAAAGTGTATTTTCCAGAAAGAGAGAGCATTTTTCAGCCAAGGTTTGCACCACCTGTGAAATCTCATAATAACACTAACTCATTAAAAGTAGGGCTGACCTTCATTGTTCATACACATAAAGGGATAGAGATACTTTTCTAAATCAAATTTATTTGAATAAAAAAATACATACCGTATCTATTCAAGTATAATACGTAAAATTTAATCCATAAAATCATCCATAAAGTTGGGGGGTAGTATTATACTCAGATAAATATTTTTACTTGTGTATTTTAACTGAAATGTCGGCGAAATTATTGAGTCCGGGAATGAGACGTGTTGTAAAAAGCAGTTGAAACGAGCTCACCTCAGACACTCCTTCGTGCTTTAGAGTGAGATAACACATCCAGGCAGGCGACATGATGTGAAAAAAAGGGAGGAAAAAGCAGTCCTGCACCTTAATAATGATAACAAACTAATGACATTAGCGTGTGACCGAGCCGTTGCTCGAACAACAACAAACACACATGGCTGCCATCTACCGGTGTTCTAAAAAAGTTTGTATCCCTGAAAAAAGTTTGCCCACCAGAGGGGGCGCTCGTGAGTAGAAAGTAATC